TGCTTTTTCTAAATCTTTAATTGTCAGATCTACCCTTTGCACCCTCTACCCTGCCCAAATTTCACTTCCTTGTGTGATTGGATGTTTCTGTTTTCTAGAAGCAGTCTTCCGAAATACTCTTTCCATTTATTGATTCCAATAATATTATTATCCAAAGTATATTATTTATCACAAACATATTAAGTCTTTTTAAAAAAATTGTACAATACAAATGTAAACTAATTCATTGTAAATCACTATTTTGGTACAATAAACATTATTTTTCTTTTTGATAACCAGTATAGTCTCTAATTGTACAGAAACAGTTAAGCAGCAGAAAAGATTTTACTTTTAACATAAATTTGTGAACCGACTTCAATTCTTTAATGTCATCTGGCATCTGGCCGTTGTAAAGTAACGTACATGTATTGTACATGGATTTCTGATAGTGAGCTGTTGATACTGGCACTTGATGAACGTCATTTCTAAGACGTGTGTTGTAATTATAAATATCAGTATTGCATGAAAATTTGTTCCCATTGTTAAGTAAATCAGTTTTGACAAATATTACAGACTCATAAATAAATAGGCAAGGCAGTGGTAAGATTCCAAGCTCAATGGAGAGATGCTAAGAAGGTAATTTTGATAGCAATATCTTATTATCAATAACGTCAAAAGCTTTCGAAAGATCTAAAAATTTTCCAATAGTTGCTTCACTTTGGTCCATTGATGAAGCTACATTTTTAATAAAAGAAAGAATGGCAGTTTGATTTTGATTTTCTTAACCCATGTTGTGAGTCTGAAAATGCTTAGTTTTTTCCTTAGAAAAGTTTCCATTCGCATTTAAAAAAGTCTCGGTCGGAATTTTGAATTTCTTTTTTGTTTACTTTTTAAAAAAGGTGGCTGGTAATTGAAAATGTGAGTTAAAGGGTGTATGAAGGCAGGTACGCAAATTGTCAATAAACAATCCGGAAATTCATCTAAACCAGATGAATATTTATTTTTTAGTTTAATGACTATTCTCAGGATTTAGAAGAAGTTTCGGAAATAAACATCATGTCAAAAAGTTTTGGGGAAGAGAATGATGTTGAATTTTCCGGTTTTACTCCCTTCGTGAGTTCACCCACAATTCTAGAAAAGTGTTGGTTGAAGAGAGAGCGTAGGCTTTCGTGGCCGGAGTCAGTATTTAATTGGCTGTCCGGGTGACGAAAACCTCTACTGGATATGAAATAAAAACTAATAATCTAGGTCACACTGACCATGATGCACAAATTCTTACAATATGAACATTGACACAAATTATTCACGTATGTGCAGAGCATTCACTAAAGTTTTCATAAAATTATTCACGGACTACTTGCTGAAGGAATCATGGGACACAGTTTACAATGCTGTTACACAAATGAAAGCTATAATCTATTTTTCTCAAAACTTACATTTCACTTTAACGCATGCTTTCCTCTCAAAAAGAGAACATTAAATATTTTACAGAAAAATAACATTTGGATCACACAAGGAATTAGAATATTGTGTAAAAACAAACGTACACATATTTAATTGGCTGTCCAGGTGACGCCGCGCCCATGGCAAAGGTGCAGACGTTTCGGTCGCCATTCTGCGGGACCTTCCTCAGGGCGAAAATAATATTGATTGAAGAGATTTGCCACTTTTTCCAGATGACTCGCTTCTCTTTCATTATCCTTTAAAACTACATTTTTTACTTTAAAACTAAGCAACGAGATGTATTTTTTACAATATTGCACATTGCTTTACTTTTGTTGCTAACGTTCAAATATCCTCATTATTTTTGCCTGAACTATTACTTTCCTTAAAATTCTTTTGTATTCTCGGAAGTAGACATGGAAAGCGGGTGATATGATGTATAGAAATAAAGCAAAGCGTACGTTTGAGCGTAGGCTTCCGCGGCCGGAGTCAGTATTTAATTGGCTGTCCGGGTGACGCCGCGTCAGGAGGTACGCCCTGAGGAAGGCCGCAGAATGGCGACCGAAACGTCTGCACCTTTGCCATGGGCGCGGCGTCACCCGGACAGACAATTAAATAGTTAAGATGTACGACTTATTTCAAAAACTTTTTCAAATGTATATAAATTGAATCTGACAAGAACATAGAATCAATATCATTTCTTACGTAAATACACGAACCTCCTTAAGCAGGAATCTTATTTGATTCCCTCGCTCTTTAATATGATCCTACAAGATAAAAACTAGGAATTTGGAGTGGGTTTAGATCATAATGTTCGGTAAAGCAAAAAACATGTATTTGACCTAAATCGCTATAATGCTGCCTTGATAAATTCAATTGTATTTGAATGATATTGCATATTGGGTTATATGAATAAAAATGAGCACTTTCTCCGGAGCAAAGTGAGTCTACTCCACGGCACCGAGCAGAAGCTCCATTTCGTATGAATAAAAACTTTGTATGTCTCCGGACAACTTGCTCATGTCTTGCGAGCATTTGCTCGTCGTGAACAAGCGATAGTGTGGGCAAAGAGTTTTTAAAATGGGTTTCCTGAGTAATTCTACTCTTACAAAGTACATAGCAAAGCACTCTACTCTTACAAAGTATTATTACTATTGACAAATAATTTAAATCAATATTTTGTGAGCAATTAAGATACATAACCCCCATACTAGAGGACATAGGGACTACCACAGGATATACACTAAAAGTCTTCAACTAACAAAGATCCTTTCTGCATTGCTGCACAGATCTTTAATTAACTCCCAGTTAAAATAAAAACTGCTGATGATAAATACTTCAACACACTGCTTAAACCATGATCTTATATTAATATATATATATATATATATATACTATATATATATATATATATATATATTATATATATATATTATATATATATATTATATATATATATTTATATATATGCTATTATATGTATTTTTATGTATATATGTAATATATGTATATATGTAATATATGTATATATGTATATATGTTATTGTATTATGTATATATGTATATATGTATATATGTATATATGTATATATGTTATATGTATATATGTTATATGTTATATATGTATATATGTATGGTATTATATAATTTATATATTATATATTATATATATATATATATTATATATATATATATATATAATGTATATGTATATGTATTTTGTTTATATTCAAATGAAATGCTTCATTTTTTCATAATTTAGTGTTGTGGAGAAGTAACAAGTAAAACCAAGTTACAATATCCACCATGGAATCGGATTTAGTGCAATTATGAAAATCAAAATGCGAATGTAATTGGGTTGCACAATTATTAGAAGATCTAAAAGGAGTGTTGGTCAATGAACCAGTCAATTCACTGCATCATCCCATTAACCCCTTTGCACTCCTTATTCTTTGGGTATTATGATTCTGGCATTTCTTTATTTAAATTAATGGTACATCGAGTACTCTAGCAACATTCCTAAGTCATTACTAAGATAGTGGTCATAAAAGAAAACGCATTTTGGTTAAGAAATAATAAAAATATTTTTACATCATTCACATCACACACTTCTAACCAGTTAATACTGTAATAAACTATTAAATAAATTGAAATGTTGCAACAATAAACATGATATTAATTGCAATGTTAGCACATGATGTTAAGGCTTTGAATATACCCACGTTGTGAGAGAACTTTTAGATTTTTTAATAAAAAAAAAAAAGTAAAAACTATGTGACGTAGAGGGGAAAATATTATCTCTGCACATTTTCTTGAGTTCCAGAATCCATTCCCATCACTTTAACAGTAAATAGTTGAAAGATGAGTGGAAGTTTAACATAATAAATAAAAATAAATTTTAAAAATCGCAAGATTAGCAATATTTGAAAAATAGTCTTCTTCGTTTCTGAGTTATAGAAAACTTATTTGCATTTATAAATTGCAAGTATGATTTTTCTGCATTGCTAACAAAATAGCAACTCACCCTTACCTAAAAGCTGTGAATCAGATCTGTTCTTCCTTTCATCTTCCTTAGCTTTTGTCAAAGAGAAGATTTTGAAAATGACCAGTATTAAGACCGTTAGCACACCTTGGAGTTAGAATCTGCTTTTAACATTAAATATTGATAAAATTATCTTACTCGTGACTGGGTGAAAATAAATCAATTTCCTTTCTTGTTTTAACTCATTCATGCGTGTAGTTCTTATGTATCACACTGATTGTTGCTCTGTTCTGCTATGCCAAAAACACAAGCTCAGAGAATGGAGGTCGATGGAGCTTCGAAGCCTGAACACCAATTGTACATAAATGATCCAAGTCACAGAGCAGTTGACACACGCGTATTTACTTCATTTTTCACATGCATGGCAACCCGCCCAGATGGCTCGTGTGTTCAAAAATGTGAGCACGCCGCGTCTTAGCGAAAAGCATCAAATTCTTTGAATGTCGACAATGGAAGACTTTACTGGCACAGTGCCATCTTGGGAGCTGGCACGCTCTCATAGCTATCTTTGAAGTAGTTGGAGCTTTTATATTCTTTGACAAATTGATTCTTATTCTCTGCAATGCAGTTGGCAAATTTGAGGGAAAATTTATGTGTATCTCCAATGTGCGACATTTGAAATGTATACCCTTTGCTGTTAATTCATTCCAAAGAACGGCTGTAATTGTTTATATTGAAGATAAGGCACCACATTTGAATTAATTTGCCTGCTTTAATTATGTGTAAACATATAATGTTCTCTATTGAATGGCAACTTTTGTTCTTGAGAAAATTCTAGTGAAACGCGAAATAGAAACTAGAGTTTCATGCTTGATAACTCATGATGTACCCTCTGAGAACGTCGTCAAAACAATGTTACGTCGAAATTCGAACTTGGAGCTCAGAAAAGAATAAAAGCTATACATTGTGTGAGTCTCGACACCAGAGTGGAGAATTAATTTTGCAATGTTGACCCCAATCAAAACAGGAGCATAAGGGTTAATTATTATTTAGTACTGTATAATTTTGTACTGATTAATTGGTACTGTATGGTATACTGATATGTCAATGAAAAGAAGTATGAAATAAATGAACAGATTAAAGAAGAATAAACATCTTGTAGATTCTTTGCACAAAAAATTATCGTGCAACATTTAGTATCATATGTTTGAATTATAAGATTAAGATTCGCTGATTATAAGAATACTTGGCTTATTTAATAGCAGAGCTCAATATACATGTTTTTATGAAATAGTGTAGGCACTAAAGATAACAATGAGATTATTGTTTTTTTCACATTCTCAAATATACACATAACAATGACAACACTGCAAGTCTTGTTCAATTCTATATAAGTAAAAATATAACAGTATATATTAATAATTGATAAAACAGCCATTCACAAACATCAGTGGCAAAATCTGCACAATAATAGTAGTAGCAGTAGTAGTAGTAGTAACAATAATAATAATAATAATAATAATAATAATAATAATAACAATAATAATAATAATAATAATAATAATAATAATAATAATGATAATAATAATAATTATTATAACATTCTTTACCTATTCACACAAGAAATAAAAATATCTCATAAAATTATACAACGGTGTACAATCAAAGCTTAAAGCATTCAGAATTCTTTGTGCTTTGCACCAATTTTATATTTGAAAGACACTGTAATTACTATTAGCACTAAAGCCAGATGAAGGTGTTTGTAGATAAATGTATATTAACAGTATTGGTCAATAACCAACCATTTCTCCTGGACTTTTTCCACTTGTTTTGCAAGAATTGGATTACGAACTCTTATTTTAACTTCCAACTTTCCTCCAACTGCTTTGCGACCATCCATTAACTGAAATGAATAAATCAATACATAAATTAAATTAATTATAAGAAACACTTCCACAAAAAGAATATAGCCAATTTAATCCAAGGTTTTCCAAAAGCTGAAATTTAATGAAGTTTAAGAACTGCATGAAAAATAAGCCTTCCACTGGTTGATCTCTAATCCACTTTCTGTTGGATTGAAACAAGTTGCAAAGCGGTGTTGAAGCAAAACTTTGAATATACAATATGAATTTCCAAAAGGCAACGGACAATATGAATTTAGACGATCATTAATGATAAAATAACTTGATACATCACACCGATATGAACTGAAGTTTCTTTATGATATTACATCAATTATTTGAACTTTTTTAATAAGGTCATTTAATTATTAAACACACAAATTGCTTTGGACCTAAACTGGTTAACATACATACATGTGGTTGTGACTTTTTTTTTCCAATTTTTAAAATTAACTTCATCATTTAATATACTTGTCGAATCTGTGAATAGGCTTTTTTATGCCTGCTATAAAGAAATCTTCATCTTAATGTAAAAGTCAATTTAAGCACATTTTCAGCCACATCACTGTAAACTGTCAATTTCTCGGCCTGTAGAGCCTCCTTGAATTGATCAAACAAGTGAAAATCTGATGGTACCAAATGATATCATTGCATGTTTGATGCACAAATTCCTCATGAGATTCTGAGAGAAAATTACTCATAAATTACAAAATGAGAAAAAGTCATTATAATTATATTACTTTCAGCAAACTTAGATCAAAGTGTAAATAGATAAGTGGAAACTGCTACAAAAATTATTTAGAAAAAACAAAAATGATCTCCCCTTGAATCTTAAAAAATGTTAGGAAGTTTGTGAAAAATAGAATAACAGAAATATTTCCTCAGAGATGACTTGGAATGATGTTGCAGCAAAGTAATGGATTGGATATCCAAAATGTATTAGCAGATTTCTTCAAAACCAGATATGATGAACCTACAGGATCCTCGACTAATTCTGGATGTAATTTTGGCAATAAGTATCCAGATGCATTCAATTGAAGCTTCATGCACTTGCGCATAATCATTTATTTTCCTTATAGAGTTTCAACTTTTTTCTGTTCTTTTTTCCTTCTTTCTTTGGGTCTTACCCGCTTGTTTCTTTTGGTTTACCATCTCTTTCAATTCAATATCCCATGTTGTCATCCTTCTATTTTTCTTGAATGGTGTATAACTTTCACTTGCTTTCCCAGCTTTGAATATTTCTTGTTTAAGTGAACTTCAAAATTTCTCAATATTTTATTTCTCTACCTTATGTTCTCCCCCCTCCCCCAACGTTTCTTTCATGTGTCCTGATGCTTTCATCTTTTTAAGTGAATAACAAATTAAATTAAAAAAATAAAAAGCACTGGATTAAATTACTAAATAGTCAGAAGTCAAAAACTTTTTGAATTATTTCAATTCATATCTACTGTATGATATTGTTTGAGAGGCAATTTAGTGCACATAAAACTGAAATCAATTGTTAAATGGAATTGGTCCTTAAAATGAGGGCAAAAACAATGAAATCTAATGATGTTCCTAATTCCATAGTAATAATAATGGAAACAAGTTACAAATTAATGAAAATAAACTTACATCAAATGCATCATGAATAATGCATTTAGTTTCCAGAGGCATTAATTTCACTGTTGCAGTTCCAATGAGAGAATCTCCACGGAAGAAACCTCTGTAAAATAAATCATTACAAAAATTTACTGCAAGCACAAGCATAAAGTTAAATACACAAATGTTGCACATCACCTCCAGCAAGAAAATTGAGAAGAGATGTGAGAACCTCTAACAATGAAAATTCCCCACAAACACATGCAATTAAGACAAGTGGGAAAGAAAAGAGCAGTCAAACCATCCAGCCCAATGCCAAAAACGTATTACCTTGACTCTTCCGCTTTCCTTTCCCTCTTTGTCCCCGACAAACAAAGGAAGCAACACAGTCTGTGCCAAACTGACCTGCAAGTAGAGTGCGTTAGCTTCCATACACCATCATGCAACACATACAGTAGAACTATGCTAATCCGAACCCCACAAATCCGAAATTTAGGATATTCTGAACAAAATTCGGAATGAAGGGAAAAATAGATTTAAAAAAACATCTGATTTGTATTAACTTAATTTAAGAACGAAAATGCATGAACACAGTGTAACAATTTTGAATACTGTACCCAGAATACCCATTTACAGCAGCAACACAAAATGCTTCAAACATTGTAGCAACTACTATCGCAAGCGATCATAGAACATACTGTAATCTATTGTTCGCAACATTGCCACTTCCTCATGTAGCTATGCTACATTGCTATGCTACATTTTCTCACACTGCATGCTATGTTGTATTGTGTCTGGTAATCCTATAGATTTGTTTATGTAGTATTTTTTTATGTACGGGACATTTTTCGGATAAACTGAACATTTCCGAATGTGAACAGTCGATTCCCCCAATAAGTTAGGAATAGCGGGATTCTACTGTACCTCCTCTTCCCGACATCATAAATTCAAAACACACAGTAGTGATGTAAGCTCAATGCATAATTTGTGAAGGGAAAAAAGATAAGCAAGCTCAGGATAACAAACACGAAGTTGTACAAGTATTACTCCAAACAATAGACAACCTCGATATTCAATGATGCTTCAACACAGGTCCATGGTAAACAAAGAAGGTGGTACAATATAATACCATCAATTTTAGAACTAATTCTCAAAAAGTATGGAATTAATTATAATTTTAAAAATTAAAATTAGCAAGGATGCATATTAATTAGTTATTACAAACAACAATTATACAAACCAGAAAAAATATCTTGCAAGATTTCAATGTATTAGTTTTTTTTCAATGCTATTTAAGGAATATAATAAATACAAATGAACTGAAACAATCAGGGACTGAGAGCTCATAACATGTTATCATATATATTATCATAACATATTGTTCATTTGGTTACAATACAGAGCATTCTTTCTACTTCTGAACAGACACACAAAAACACTACAGAAGGTAATTCCCAAAAATTGCAAATAAATTAGCATTGATACTGAATCTCTATACTTCACATTTCAAAATAATTTTTAAGTGAAAGTGCCTTACAAGTCTTTAAAAGCGCAAGCACCTAAACATGGTTTAAAAAATATAAATATAGTTTGTATACTCTAAAATTGGCTCAAGCAAGTGCTATAACAAAATTGCAATTTCAAAGAGATACCATATTTGCTCGTGTATATGCCGCACTAATGTTTGACACAATAATTTGAAGAAGGAAAATCTCATGTATAAGCCGCAGTCAACTTCACCAAATGGTGAGGGAATCGAGCAGCCAGGAGGAAGTTCGACATCGAGGACAGGAGTGTGAAGCGGTGGACTCAAAACAAAACCACATTGGAAAATACTATTACAATAAATGTACATTTTGAGGTAAGATATGTAAATATCCAGCATTTGTAGAAGAATTGTTGAAATACGTTTGGGAACCCATTGCAAAGGTTTAGCCATTTTCCAAGAGATGCTGAAGTTTGAGGGCAGTAAAATAGCTAGGAAACTCAGTATCCCATATACCAAATTTCAAACAATCTACGGAGACAGCTATATACTCTCTACAAGCTACATACTCGCTATGAGCTCTGGGCCACGGTGACCAACATGTGTCAATGGATTTTGGATGTGTGGCAATCAATTTCAGGTGATGTGGTTCACCAAACGTTTTAAAGTGAGCAGCATTTCAAATAATTGGGGCGAGAGCAGAGACACTGTATTATGAAATGTTACAAGTGATTTTGAAAGTGACAACAAATTAGGGGTGATGCAGTGAAAATGATTAAATTCAACTTTAACATATGTATACTACGTACATTTGGGAAAAAATAAATATTATTTTCATAAAATTCTGTTTTTCTTCCAATGATATTTTTACAGAAAAATCTAATTTATAGGCCTTACCCCTGTTTTATTAGTTACTTCTCAGAAGAAAAAATAGTGGCTTATACATGAGCAAATACAATAACTTGGTTTGTCTCTTCCTCTTTGCAATTACAAAATTCTAAGGCATTTTAGGGTGCCCAATCCACAATTCAATATGCTATGAGTGCTCTAAATTTATGGCTTTGGCACTGCCTTGCAACAAGATAAAAATAAAAATATATCTGGGCGCCACTCCTCCAATTCTGAAACTTTAAGAATTCAGCCTCTTCAATTAACCTGTCGATGCACTGAAGAAGAATATTACACTTAAACATTTAAGGAACCTCTGAGGCCCCTTCCTAAAATTACAAAGCAGATGGGAAAAGTGAAGTAATTTTTAGTGTACACTCATTTGGAAGGGATTAGAGCTCATTTAAGAGAGATACATCACACTTTCTTTTAGTGTCACAATCGTCTCTTAAAAACTTGGGCTAGTTGAGTGTTGTATCTTTACAAAATGTCAAGGCACTCACAGATGGCTACTGCATCTGGGGAGTGGTGATTGCATCATCACCCGGTTACTCCATCCTTTCATAAACCACGGTTGTTCCCCCTCCTACCCCTGCAGCCACTCGACAGCCTCGACGCCCTTGGTCTGATCGCATTTCCCGAGTGTGCATCAGCTGGCTGTCACAAAGGGCATTGGCAGCATTGTAATCACAGCTTCCAAATAGGGCGTGTTTTGAAATACCATGTTTCAGAAATGCTCTGAGAGGACTTGTATTCCCCTCTTGTTAAGAGATGTTTAAGACAAATTGCATCATATTAATTTAGGTGTGCCCTTGCGAACATGCAGAATATCTTTAGCCATATTTAGTAGGTTTACCATGTTCTGAATGAATTCTGACATTCTCTGTCATCAAAGTGCATGTACCTTTGAATGTCTTCAAAATGGTGAATATTCATTGTTGTTGCTGTAAAAAAAGGATCACTTCTTTCACTCAAAAATAATTCCCTTCAGAGAGTAATCATGCTCTTCTTAAGTCAATTTTTCACACATATTCACTGAAGAAAGTTTAATTTTTGATGGTCAGCACTTTCCGCACAATTTACATTAGGAACGTATTCCCACTTGTGACAGAAACGAATCTAACTTTGTATTGAACATCTGCTAACTCACAAGAGATGATGTCAGAAAGTAGAAATATAGCCGGATTTCATTATCGCAGTCCACTGTTGAACTCAGTGCATTTTTCCTCGTAGAAATACCTTCAACTAAGCCTCAGAACAGTAGGGGGTCTTTCAGGCCCCATACATGGAAAGTTCGAATACCTACAGAAAAAGCTAGATTTCTATTAGTTCCCGTTTACTCTCCTTGTGTCATTCGTAATAAAAATGACAGGTTTACAATGTCAAAAAATATTATTATAAACAAGCAAAATATAAGAGAATTAGAGCAATGAAAAGAAGTCGGGGAGCCCTGAGGCTCCTTAAGTGCATCGACGGGTTAAATTTCAGAAAAATAGAATGGCTAAGGTTACTGACAGGATTTACACAACTCACAAATAAGCAAAATGGATTCTACCTAATGAAAGTTTTAATTACATTAAAGCACTTTCAACCATGACTGTGATTTCAGATTAGTCTGAAAAAAATGGAGCAAAAATGAATAACGAGATTATGTTCTATTATTTATGGCTTGCACAGAGAAGATATTGAGAATGTGGGAATTGCACTGAGATTCCACCACACCTGACTTGGAAATCTTGCTCTTCAGACCTGGCAAGCAACGTCATCTAGCATAAGCTTACCCTCTAGACCACACCTCCAATTTCACAGCTTGTCTTCTAAACACTCGCTGGCAGGCTCGAGCATTTCGTTGTATTGACAATAGAAAGGTCTGATTGTATTGAGGATTATTCGTATCCTTGATGATACCAGTCCTATCTTTCACTGGAGTTTCCTAGAAAAACAAAAAATTAACTTTAGAAGACTGGTATATTCTTGAAAGCATAATTTGGATGGATTTCAGAGACCTGTCACAGTCTAAGTTCAATGCTGATTTTTTAATCAAATTAAAAAAATTTAAAATTTTGGATATAAAAATAACTAGGTGCTCCAACAGCATATACTTTCCCATATTAATCACAATTTAAAATGTTGCCACTTTTATCCTACCTCCAGCTATCCCTGGAAAAATCTTAACCAAAGGGTGATGATTTCAGAAAATATATGCATCTTTAATTTTTTAAAATTAAAAAGTTTTAAAGAAACAAAATTAAAATTACCCGCTTTAATATGCTGAACCTCACTGCTGTAATGAAACCTAAGGCTAATATGAAGGGCTTATTTGAATAGGTGTCTTAACTACAGTTTCTGTCAAAACGAGTTGCCCGCACTTGTACATATAGGGTACCATCAATTATTTATTTTTAAACTGGTTCATCGCTACCTTCTTTCTAACACTGCACTACAAAATTTACATTTAAAAGAAAGCATAATTATAATTATAATTATTAATTTTAAATGTAATGCAACTCCAAATCTTTATTTGCCTTATTTCAATAATGGTATACCTTCATTTTACTTTCTTACAAAGCACAGTCAGTAGTAATATCAATTTACTAAAATACAAGTTGATACTAAATAATGGTACCCAATATTTGCAATTTTTCTTTCGAATAACATTTAAACTCTACATTTAAGAGGAAACCTAATAGGGCTAATTTCAATCAAGGTTTACAGATTGTTTGAAATCAATGCATTGCAAATTTAAATTGTAGACAAGAGTAAAAATTGACTTAATACTGGGATTATCAAAAGTAAATTATAATTAAAATAACATTAATTATTTGTCATATTGTTGTGATCTATGCCTGTTCTCAGGGATTTTTCTCATGGCTATCAATGTTGATGGATAGAAATTAAAATAGTCTCTAGCCCCTGAATAAAATGCTCAAAGCAATAAATATTCAAAATTAATCACTTCGATATTAAATGCAAATGAGATAGCACGTACTCCTCACAATATTTGTAACGCTTATATGTACTATGCATTTACATTGCAACTTAATGTAGATATAGTAGTCACAGATTGAAAGCATCTGAAACAAAGCACAAAAAATTTGAATTTTGCATTTCAATTTTTTTTCCAATTTTTGAAAATTCAGACTCTGCACTGAAAATAGGATTACCACCAACTTCTTTACAGTTCTTTGCTAAATATGTGAAAAAAGTTAAAGGAAAATTTAGAGCCGTTTCTAAGAAAATAATTGTTCAAAATTTAAAAATTGCCAGTCTTGTGCAAAAAATACTAGTTTTAAAAAATTGAGCATGAACTTATTTGATGATCTGTTTTTGATGAACACATTTCATTGAGAAAAATTCTTCATAATTGTAGTTGTACAAAGATGCCAAAAAATTTGGATTTTTGCTAGTTTCGAAAAATCAGGGATTTTAAACATGTGACCCGCACCTCACCTTAGGCTTTCTATACGATATCACACACCAAAATTATCACGAAAAAATATGATGCCATTTCTAAGAAAAAAATTGTTCATAAAAGTTTTTAAATGGCCTATAATTCATGGAAAATTACATTAAAACCAGTCAAATTATCAAAAAATTGTGCACAATCTCACTTCAAAAATTACCTGAACATATTTTATCCAGGAAAATATTTCTCTTTTCAATATTTTAGTTGTGGGAAAAGCCAAAAAAATGAACAATTCCAAGTTTTGGAAAATCAAGGATTTCCACGAAAATGAGACCTGCACTGCTCTCTTTCTGTCCTTTACGCTATCAGAGAACAAAATTCAATCAAAAAATTTGAAATAATTAAAGATGTTGTCATTGCCAACAATGTTTTTTAATTCAACAACTGATGATGATGGCTAAGCCATCGAAAGCTGCTTTTGAATTAAAAAACATTGTTGGCAATGACAACATCTTTAATTATTTTAAAAATGCCAAAGATATCCTACCACAACACCTATACAAAAAATTTGAACCCATTTCTTTGAAGTTTTTGAGTGTCCCAGGGGCTTCACATCAAGTACCACCAAAAATTAAAATATTGGGTTCAAATTCAGAGAGCCGCAACATCAGACAGATCAATTGGAGAATCTCAATTCAGGAGAATATTGGCTGAACAATTTAGATGCTGGTGTTGACCACGGAAGGACACAGTCAAAACATACAGATTCTGACTATACATTTTAAGAGGAAGTAATTTACTACATGTAGAAAAAACATTTATCCAGTTTTTCATTAACAGGACCCAGCAATAGGAGGTTTTCTATAAAAAATTCACCCCAATTTCCCTGCAGCATTACAATATTTTCTATATACTGCATAAGTAGTAGCACGTTTTATATACTAGTAGCTTTATTTTGTTGCAGTATCATAGTTGCAAACAATTAAAAGCAATAGAGCTTTTCATATTATTGAAGGAAGCTGAATTAAGCTGAAATTTGGAGCACAATGTCATCAAGACCAAACAAAAGTAGTTCTAATTTTGCACACAAATTTCAGAAGCGTACAAAAAGTAGAAGTTCTTGATCAATGTCTTTTAGGAGGGAAAAGCAGAAGACTCCATGTTTAATGGCAGTGAGAATTTCAAAATTCTAATTCATTTTCTCATTATAGACACTTTAACAAACCTCTGTTCCCCTCATAACCTATCTCCAATTTCATTTCATTATTCATTAAATACACAATTGCCCAAAATACAATATGTTACAAAATGTGTAGTGTTAATATCAATTAATTATGTTTAAACACTTAAATTTAGCAAATCTAATTTATTTCTGGCATAAAAAATAAATTACTTTCACATTTATTAGCCATTTTATTCATTCGCCATAATGGAGAGTAAAGGCCTAAATTAAATTTAGCAATAGGTACAAAAGTTGAATTTTATCATTATTTGTATTCGGAATTTTCCAGTTGATTTTTGATAATAAAGTGGGACAATCAATTTCATTATTTAGCAATTTACAAAAAAACAAATCACAGAATTGTCTATGCGAATATAAAATACTAATATTTACATGGAAGTAATAATGAGATATTCTAGGGGATTCCATTTGAAGTTTCCATGTCATGTGGGTGAGAAATTTTTGCTGTACATTTTCGATCTATTATAATATATATCATAATAGGGTGTCCAAACAGGTGAAGCATAAAGTAACATTGACCTCCCTAATGATAAAAATAATGTCTTAAGTACAAATGGATTGTTAAATTCACAAGTCATTCGTCTCACAAATCGAATGGTTTTGTTAGCTTTGTTTATTATATAATCAATATGTTTATTAAATTTTAATAATGAATCAACGATAACTCCTTGATCTTTAAATTCTTTTAGTACTTCAAAATTTTCATTACCTACAAAGTATTGATATGCTGTTTGAAACTTTTGCCTAGAAAACCTCATAACTTTAGCACTTTTTTTATGTTTACAGCTAGCTTATTCCTCTCACACCAACTACTTAAGATATTTAAGGATTGCAATCTGCAAAAAGTAAGAATTTGGTATAGAATTGTATATAGATTAAAACCAATAAAGGGCTTATTTGTTCACATTTTCACAATTAATTGTATTGCAGTATGCATCAAAACCTAAGTAAAAAATTCAACAAGGGATTAATGTAAATCCCCAGCATGTCTTAAGAATAGACATTTAAAAATTTAAATAATAATAAAGAAATTTTACTAAACAAAATTTTAGAGGGTCCCCCAAACTTGGAAAGAAAGGCCCCTACAAAGTAGGTAACCGATGTGTAATCCTCAGAACTTAAACAAAAGATAATAATTGCACAAATCATAGAAATGTTTAACATGAGCATAATACACAAACATGATATTCTAAGTAAAAGACAAAATTATGAAAGATGGAACTTACTGCAGGAAATGGAAATTCAAACTTCACATACGTGTCCACTTCCTTTGGATTTGGTACGTTATAGTTTATTCCTTGTACAACAGATAATTCCAAATCATTATCCCCCAGTTCTGTGCAGCATCTGTACAAATAAATTTAAAGAATTTTAATGGTATCAAATTAAAAACCTCCATTACCATAACTCGTTGGACTCAAAGGATGTGCACATTCTTAGCACCCAATTCACTTATACTCCAAACTCAATTATACAACTATTAGAAGAAGCATTTTAATTTCTGTTATTTCTGTATAGAATATGTGTGTCTAAAAAGATCTAGAGGTGGCTGAAACAATGTAAGAAGGAACCAAAAAAAAACTTGTGGGAATGCATGGCATATACCGGAGTCCCTCAAGGACCGGTTTTCGGACCCAAACTGTTTATTCTTAACGCTAGTGATATCACACGCATCACAAAAAACACTTTCTCCATGTATGACGATAATACCAAATGTATCCCGATCCACTTGAAAACTCCTACCACTTACAAACAGACATCAATATCTTCAAATGTACAGCGAAATGGACAAACCAATTTTTAACTTAAAAATAATTCACGACACCAGTTCAACATTAACAGACATATCCAGACATCATTGTGGGTCCAAGATCTGGGGATTATAATAAAGGATGACCGAATATGGGAAACTCATATCAACTATATCAATAAAGCTAATAAAGCACTATTTTTGATATGAAGGCTTTTTGATACCTCAGCAAGGATTCTCTAAATACAATACACTGCGTATGTGTTATCTAAAGTGGAATATGTCTCTAGTGTCTGAAATTCTTACGGACATGATACTTTTGGAGGGAGTCCAATGTAGAGCCGCAAAACTTCTACAAGCTCTTAGACATTTAACTTATGAAGAACAAGTGCGTCAATTAAATATATATCATCTTTATCTTATAGGAGAGACCGAGCCAACAACATTGAACCCTACAAAACTAGTTCACAGCCTCTACCATACTCTGGAATTGTTACACTACTGCACATACATCACTACTCACAACCTGAGAGAGACAACACGAAGCAAACCAGTACCCAAAAAAACAACCTAGAGAGGGAAGAACTATCAATGCTACTAAAGTAAATCTTGCATTTGTTTACAATATATCCATTTAAATTTGCAGATATTATTATCAGATATACATCATAACTTACTGTACAATATTAAATGTTCTTGTTTCATAGTGGAACTTTGGAACAGCATCACCTCGTTTGTGAGCGCACTTCACTGCATCAAGGTCTTTCTTTGAATGCAAAGCCAATTGTTCAAACCTATTTGCACTAGCTATATCACCAGTAGCTTTGAAATGATCTCTAGTTGTTAAACACATCTAGAAAACAAACATACACATACAGGTTTTCATAAATCATCATTAATAAGTATCAAAATTATGCTCAATATCAATTCAATTCCACCTTTGTTTGCCTCAATAAATCCTCTTCCAACTTTTCATAGATTTCAGAGTCAGTCCCAGGCAAGCAGTCTTCCAAATTTACAACATCAAAATCAGTTTCTAATTCCACTTTGTTTTCTGGAGGAATTGGAAGCTGAAAATTACAGGCATTTACAAAATCTCAAATTACAAAAGGTAAATACCTAGACAATAAATATTTGTCTAGAACTATTTGCTTCTCACTTTAGAGAAAAATATTAAATACCTTGTGAAGAGTATCAGTGTCATTCAGTCTGAACTAAAAACTTAGCATTATCAGAATGACATGAATAGTTTATCACCTTAGAAGTACAGTATCTAAATAGAATGACCGATGGCAATAAAGTGAAATGGAGTGAAGTGTAAAAAATGACTCTTCTACTGATCTACCTAAGAGAGCTATTTGATATGAAATATCGAGGGATAGATGAAGGAAACAGCTACCCAGCTAAACAAGAGCTTGAGGCACTATTTTATGAAATAATTTGAGAAAAATAAATTTTACCCAAGAAAACTAAATGTACAACCAGTTTTGAAATTAACATGTAAATAAAATGAACACTGTGGCTTTGTAAAATAAATTCTTATACAGGTGTCCCATTTAACTTCACAACTTGAAATAACTCAAAAAATATGCGACGTACGAAAATTTTAGCCGACACCAAATCTTAACAGTTTTCAAGGGGGAATCATTTTATGCTAAAATCAGCATCCCCCCTGCCCCAAGCGGGTGGGGCGGTGGGCGACATTGAAATCTTAAATACAAACCCCCATTTTTTATTTCAGATTCGGATTCTACAGACAAAAATACATAGGTTTTGTCTGAAACTTTTTTCCGATTTGTGATAGGTGGAGCTGTAATCGCAAAAATTTAATATCCGAAGATTTCCATCCACCTAGAAATTTTCTTTTATCATACCAATACATATAAGTGAAGACAAGTCTAAAGTGAATAACTATAAGCCTATATGCATTCAACCATCACTTGCTACACTTTTTGAAAAAATCATTCTCTCACAATTGACAACAGCTTTCAAAAATATCATTACTTCTAAATAACATGGCTTTATTGGAGGAAGATCAACATCTACAAATCTCTTCATATACATCAACTATATCTTAAATGCCTTAGGCAAAGGTCAAAATGTGCACTCTATATACACTGATTCAGTAAAGCCTTTGATAATGTAGATCACAAAATATTGATGTCAAAATTGAGCAGTTATGGTGTTCAACATATCTGACAGGTAGGAGATTAAAAGTGAACGTTAATGGTCATTTATCACAAGAATATGATGTTTTGTCCAGTATACCACAGGGTACTCATGTCGGACCAATATTATTCAGTACTTTTATAAATGATATTGGTGAAGGGTTGCAATCAGAATTATTGTTTTATGCTGACAATATGAAGATCTACAGAACTATGGTGAGTGAGAGTGATGTGGTTATTCTACAACGTGACATCTCTGTACTCGAAAAATCGTGTATGGATAACAAGTTATTCTTGAACTTTGGAAAATGTGCTGTGATGATCTTCTCTCGTGCTCATGGTCAATTATACAATGTCAACTATCAGATAGATGGAAGAAACGTACGAATTGTTAATTCATTTAAAGATCTGAACATAATTATCGATGAGAAACTTACTTTTGCTGATCATGTGGACAATTCTAAAAAAACACAAAATCTTGGGATTCATACTCAGATCAAGAAAAGTATTTAGAAGCATCAACACTCTGTCTCGTTTATTCTCTGCATTAGTGGTATCAATACCGGAATACGGAAGCATAGTTTGGTCACCATATTACACAAATTGAGAAAATTCTGCAAATCCTTAGTTTATTACTGTCAAGATGAAAATGTGAGAAACACAGATTATGTTTATGTCCTACTTAAGATTAACAGCCTTCAAACTCGGAGACAAATGATAGAACTTATTTTTTTCTACAAAGTATTTAATGACTTTATCGACTCGCCGGAAATATTAGAGCAATTTGGCCTTGTATGCACCAGGCCTAATTTGCGTACAAGAATACTTGTAAGTGTGAATAATTCCAACAAAAATTGTCATCTTTGGGCCACACAATAGAATAGCTAACATTGTCAATCAGAGAGCACCAAACGTTCATTTCTTTGATATATCTATATCTACTTTCAAACGTAGCATAAAAGAATTCATTTACTTTTTACAAATTATTGTCTCAACCAAATTTTGTGATGCAATGTTTATGATATATATCAATTGTATACTTCTGTTCAATTGTATCAATTATATATACAATATACAATACACCATACATAATATATATATATATATATATAGAGATAGATAGATAGATAGATAGATACATATATACATATATACGTATATACATACATACATACATACATACATACAAAATATATATATATATACAATATTTTAAAATGTTCGTTGAAGTTCAAGGATGGTTTTTACGTCGAGAAAAATTTGAATATTGCGAAAAAAACCTAAAAACATGCTTTTTTCTTTTTTCCCATAACAAACTTCTAAGTAAAAGTAGAGTCAATTTTGAGCTTTATAGCTGTGTAATAAGCACGTCATTGTGTTAGTGAGACAAGTCTGCATTGTTGTAGGTATGTTCCACCATCAAGAGAGTCATTGGGATGCGCAACGTCTCCGGTTTTAGACAGGAGACTCCGGAGTTTTTGGCGCTTCATCTCCAGTCTCGCGATTTTTGAAAAATTCATCTCGCTTTTTTCGAATTTTCATACATTTTCAAATTTTTTCAAAATAAATAGATTTTTTAACTTAAAATTTAAGCTTCTTCTATTTCATCAGAAATCTGTCCTTTCTTTCTTCATTAGAAAGATAAAGGAGCGAGAATCATTAAAATTGGTCTAGCGATTCCGTGTGTTATCGCATCTGCTATATTTTCTTCTACGGCATCACAGACAGGATTATGCGGATGGCTATCAAACCAGTTTCAAGAATAATCTACCGGGAAATGCTATTCATATCTTCATTTTGACAAGATCGAATTTTCGTATTTCGTATCTGACATTTGTTACAAAAGGCTTGAATAGTTTAGTGATATACCAATACATATTGAATAAATGTTAAACGAATATCTATACAGGTAAAGTTTTAGCATACAAATGTTGTTTTACATATCTCTATACCCTAAAATAAATCTATAATATAAAATGAATCGCAAACATATGGTTGGTAGCGCATAACTCAACAATAGCCTGGACCAATTTCGCAATCCTTTTTTTTAATGTTTCGTTGAAGTTCACAGGAGGTTTTTATGTTCGAGAAAATGTTCGAATAATTGGCCGGAAAAACCCTAATAATGGCCTTTTCTTTTTCTATACAACGTTTTTTACTAAATTAAGGTCATTTGGACCTTTATAGCTAAATTGTATAAACACTTATTGGTTGTTTAAATGAAACAATTAATTTCTAGTCAAACAAGTCCAATTTGCCTTTTTATTACCATTAGTACAAAGTCCAAATCTCATATATCTTATCAAAACAGTGTGCGTATGTGGTTGGAGTACGAATCTCATTGGAGGATTTTAATGTTGCGTTCGCGAAACTATTACAACATAATGCGTAATATATAGATATGCCTGCCTATTAAGACCGAAGCAATTTAGGTAGTAAGAACCCGAATGGCTACAACAAGAAATTTACTGAGATCATCATGGCTGGCTCAAGATTGTGACGACCGACAATGAACGTGAAGAAGATTCCGGAATTCACAACGCGTGAAGCGCGAGCGCTAAATTAAACTAATAATAGCGCAGGTGATTCGAGCTGCTTTCAGTTACGAAATTTGTCAATTGAACCTCAGTACTACCAATGTGTTATGTTCTATGAACTCGGTTTGCTCCATTTTGTAAGGCATTAAAAATATAAAAACAAAGCTATGGATTGTGTTTTTTTAGGGCAAATGGTACAGTGACAACTAATACATTGGAGAAAAGCCACCCCCAGAGCCATTGTAACTCATTTATCGCTCAACTTTTTGAAATATCCAAAATTAACATTGGCTTTCCAATGACTCATTTTGGGTCAACAATGAGTTCGGGAAAATTTATGCAACTTTCAAGGTAATGTATTATAGCAGTTAATATAATTGTTTATGTTCTGGTCCTAAGGTAGATGTGTTATATCTCCATTTCTTAATCATTAAGATATAATGCATCACTTGAGTCAAGAAATTTACAACGAAGGATTTGAATTTCAATTGAGACATGTCTGTGATGATGCAAAACCAAACTATTAAATTCAATTAGTCAAAAAACTGTTGATCACAACACTTTGAAGATTAATTCAAACAATCTTCCACTATTCGAATGACCAACAGTAAGTATTGATATTTATGAAGAACCAAATGATGAAATTGGAGGATTGTACTTCTTAAATGCACCTGTGGTACAGGAAAACTTTTTTGATGTCATTATATTATGCAAAGATTCGGCTTTAAAAACAATTAAATTTGCATTCGCACTCGCTTCGTCACGGAATCCGGCAGGCACTTGCTTAACGTAGTAGTCACAGCTGTTTCAGCATTTATAATTGGCCATTAAGTATGGCAAAGCAAATGAAATCCGACCTGCGAACATTTCGACAGAGCTTCTCGGCAATGGCAAAAGGTCTTTTGCAGCAATGTGAAATTATTTATTTGGGCTAAATGCACGCATGGCCATAAAAATCGTTGGACTGCTTTAGACAGAACTCTTACAAGATCTACGGAATCAATCCTAACCAATTTGGTACAGTGCAATGATTTTATTAGGGCAGGAGATCGTCAAAACATTGCTAGTGATTCCACGATAAACACCAGCGTGATTGAAGCTCAATGCATGGTCTAAAGTCTCTCCAATTTGTGGAAACAATGTCAAAAGTTAACTACATTTAAGCAAGAATTGCCTGCTCGAGTTGCAAAATTACCACGTTGGTAATAGCGAATTTTCCTATAACATGTTGACTGGCTGCACGTTGCATTAACTTCCTCGACAGTTTTTGTCAGTTAATCAGTCGATCACAAAGATGCAACTTATTCAGAAGGTGTTTCCAGATGTTTCTCAAAATTAAATAGAAACCATGGCTGGTTGAGCAAACGAGCTATATTGGCTGCAAAAAAACATAGATGTAAATGACCTTAATTTTAAAAATTCAAGAAGCAAATTACAGGCGAATCGAGGATATATAAATCAGTTGATTTGGCTACTAACCAAGAAGATGTAGTGAACTATCCACCATAATTTTTAAACTCACTAGATTTGCCACGATTGCCACCTCACAATCTTCAATTAAAAGTTGGATCGGTAGTTATAATGTTGCGAAATATGAACTCACGTCTTTGCAATGGCACACGGTTAGCGATTAAAAATTACTAAACAATTACTAGCAACCATACTGAAAGAAGAGTGTAAACGAGAAGACGTCCTCATACCGCGCATCCCAATGATTCCGACTGATGTGCCGTTTGACTTTAAACGACTACAGTTTCCAGTTCGGCTTGGTTTTGCTATGACCATAAACAAGTCCCAGGGGCAATCATTAAGTGTGGTATTAATCTATAAAACCCATGTTTCTCACATGGTCAATTGTATGTTGCCTGTTCCCGTGTTGGAAAAACCATCAGATTTGTTTGTCTATGCGCCAGGTAATCAAACAAGAAACATCGTATATCACAAAGCACTACAATAAAAAAAACCTGATTTTTGTTAATTATTATGTTACAACATGATTAACAACAAGGCGATTACTTACTTTTAAATGCTTATATATTTTTTATTCAATTATATTTCTTATTCACAACGCCCTATCACCAGGGTGACTGTTCTGTTCAAGAGAATTTTTTGGCCAGACTATAAAATATGTAGGAACAAAAAATTTCACATTACAAATCTTTTTGACAGGACGAAGTCTGTCAGGTCCGCTAGTAAAATAATAAATTTGAAAGTGAAAATTTGAATGTATAAATCCGATTGGCGTATGTGAACGAATAAATAAATAAATAAATATTTTATGTAGATCCACTAGTCAGCTAGAGTCAAACCAACATGCTTATAGTCATACTTGGTTATGTTGAAGAGGTGGCATGAAGAATATTGATATTTTAAATTATAAACAATTTACTTGATTTTCCAAACAAATTAAGGAGTTTTGCCAAAACAACTGCTCTCTCTGGGCAGTCACATTCAAATAGGTGACGTAAACAAGTATGAGTAGGGTAAAATTTTTTAATTTAACTTATTGTGCTACAAATATTAACACGATTGTCTAAGAAGTAGTAATAATTATTCGTTTATAATTTTGTTTCATACATTCATTGATTATATGATATTGATGTACGAAATATGCTAGGTACATTTTTGGTCATGTGTCATGGCCATCTGAAAACATCTGTATAGATACATACTTAAATGATTTCGATCAGTTCTCCAAGTTCGGATTGGTTGTTGTGGACTTTTAATTAAATGATTACGTTTTAATTGCGCGCATGCCATAAACAGTTATAATCAACGATTTTTCAGAAATGAATGAGCATATTTAGTTAACTAAACAAAAAAAAATATTTTTTATTGAAACAGAATTTCTTTAATTGGCTTCTTGTATAATATTTCACATATCTTTCTAATATTAACAGAAAACAAGTGTTAACATTCAAAACAAGTTTCTAACACACTACTTTACAAGAAGAAACTTCCAGATGTTAAAAACAAGAGCAAAAGCCTTTAAGTTGTTTTCTAATAAATCAGGAGGAACCTCTCAACATTTTATTTCATTCAAACTTCGAAATCCAGTAAAACATCCATTATGCTCCAGAATTTGAAATCAGATCTTCCTTCATCAAACAGAGAGGAGCATCAAGAACTATTGTTCTGGAATTAAAGTAAACAAGAGAGTTCAAACAATGTTACAACTTACAGATGCCAGATCTATGAGGAGACCATTCTGGGAAGCTTCGATCAGTGGGTCAAAACCCTTTGCAATCCGCAGGTACTCCTTGGCCTGATTAATCTCGCCTTTGCGCTTTGCTTCAATAGCTGCTTCTCTAAATTTCTTTTGTCGACTAAGCAGAAGTGCGAGTTGCTTTTCTTGACGGGACTGAGGAGACTTCCGAACTATTAAAAATTAAAATTCTTTGCTCATGATCACAATTGAGGGACACAAGACTTAACAATAATTCACTTTTTTTTTGATACTACTTCACCAACAATCCAATTAATAATTCACTTTGTTCGCCCTCACCATTCAGTTTTGCAGCAGTTCCACTGGGCTCCGCATCTTGAGGCGTCTGGGGAGTAACGGGTGTCCTTGGAGCAGCAGGCGCTGCAGGTGCTGCAGGGGTTGCAGGGGTTGCAGGGGTTGCAGAAACAGGGGCACCAGCCACAGGAGAGGGAGCAGCTGCAGGTCCACTACCTCCTTCCACAGGAATTGGTCCGAAACCTACAGAGAGTTTGCAGATGAGAATCACCAAAAACATTTTCAAGATGTGTTAACATTATTGATGCTAATTATACTTTATGTATTACAAATCTTGGACAAGTTTCATCCAAAAAAGATCTTGGTGTTATTTTTTATAACGAAATGACATTCTGTGATTACAGACTATATTGTAAGTAAATTGCTCAACAACTAGGATTTATTAAGAGATCAATTTAATTATTAAGAGGCTCAAAAAACTTTATATATTGCATTAGTCAGGTCACATTTTATGTTTGCTTTTACTATATGGTCACCGTTTTTTTAAATTCATATTAAGCGTTTAGAAACAGTTCAACACAATTTTTTAAGAATCCTTGCGCCACATATGAATTTACCCGATACTTTTATAGATCATGATTACAATAGTATTTCACTTTCCTCTGGAATTTAGACTCTGTACGTCTATGAGAAAATGTAATGTTTTTGTGCAAAGTAATTCATGGGAAAATTAATTTTTTTAAGCTGCTGAATCAATTGATGTTACGAATTCCAATTAGACCATCTTGTAGTTACCATCCGTCTATTTTATAAAATTATTTATCTGTGTATCAGCAAACAACCCAGTTACCAGAATGTGTAACTTTGTTAATCATCTGAATATTGAAATAATAGACTTTAAGATGTGTTAGCCTGCCGATTTTCTCAAGGCAGGTTTTGGAGTTTTCTTGAGGGAGGTATTGTCTGATATTTAGTTTATCGTTCATTATCTTACTAAAGAGACAAGATTTACCAGTTGTTTGAATCTCACAGAGTTAACATTACCTTGTTTTTGAATGGGTTGTATTTGGACAATAGTCCGTACAGTCAATAAATAAATAAATAAATAAATAAATAAATAAGAAACATATGAGAACCATGCATTTTCAATTAACAATGACTCTTCGAACAAAATTTACATTAAACACTCTTCCTTTTAAAAAACAACTATTTCTTAAAAGGTAACATATCTAAAAATTGTTTTTTTAATTTAAAATCTTAAATATTTTTTCTTTATAGTAATAAGTCATTATTTCCAGTAGAACCTCTCACATCAGACCTTCTTTCCTTCATTTTTCACCAGAATTCTCCGCTCCTATTCAATGCCGACCCTTGCAATTGTTGTAGAACCTCAATAACACGTAGTATAGTATATATTGTACAGTTTTATAAAACATATGTTTTCATTTATTTGTGTTTTTACACATTTTTTATTGTTTCTTCAATTATTCAACCTTTTATTTGTTCTGATCCATGGGCTTATAAAGGATTCTACTGACATCTTACAAGGATGAAGTGCCACCAGTTCATCTGGTGGCTGCATTAATAATGAAGCTAAATCTCCAGGAGGAGAATGAAATAATTATTCTATATAAACACATTATAATTTCAAACCTGGAGGAGTGGGCAATTCATCCACTGGAATAGGCTTCCCTGCTTTATGCATCTTAATAGCGCTTTCATACTGTTTCACTATTCGTCCCATACGTCGTACTTTGCTTGAATTCCCTTCTTCTTTAGCGGCTTGCTCTGCACTTTTATACTTGATCAGTCTCTGTTCCAAGGCTTCAAGGACAGTGGTCGGTGGGGGTGGAGCACTGAAAGCTGGCTCGTCTGAAGCCAGATTTTCCTCTGAAACAAAAGGCATATTTCAGCAACTAGTTCATCTTCCTTACCCAATAAACTTTACAGGAACCCTACAACCTCTACAGATCTACACAAAAGAGGTACTTTTCAAAAAAGCACTTGGCATTCTAGTCTACCTCATGAAATTACAAAAAGTATCTAGTCTGAACTCCAAAAATTCAAAAATATCCAAATCTGAAATACAATATTAATTGCACAGGCAGCCAATCACACTAAGCCATTTAATATCCAGTCAATATACTCAACGCACCAGTAGCATCTCTGAAAAATTTTATTTACTATTATATAAATTTTATTAATCTATTTGCAAGGGAGGATTGGAGAGGGGAATTGAAAAAACCAACAACAATTTATACATAAGAGACTGAAGAGGCCAAGTATGAGTAAATGATAGAATTGTGAGAATGGGATAATTATACTTCGGTGACAGTGATTTAACTGAAGATGACATTTGGGACCTAAAGCCTAACTTTGCTCTCTGTGTCCTACATGCTACAACTTCCTCTGACTAATGTTTGTAAATGCTGACTTTTAATAACTGACTGGCAATTGTGTTAAAAATGTAATAACATGATATAAATCGATTTGAATATTACACAGAACAATCGATTTGATGTGACAAACTACAGAAACTTCCACTTTATTTAGAATCTTTATTAAGATTATATAGATTGTAGGCAGACGGATGGACGGACAGATGGAAAGACGGACGGACAAACATATGGCCGTCAATCGATTTTTCGATATCAAGAACTAACAAAACATGGATTCTGGCTACACCACAAGTTAGAGGATTTTTTTTCTAAATTTAGCAAATGGATTTATCCACTTTTTCCTTTACCACTACCCAGTAATAAGGTTTTTTCTGGCGAAATTTCGGCGTTTTCTTGCGCACAATTACATAACTTCTTATGAAGTTTCTTCTAACGAAGAGTTTGTAAGGCGAGAAAGTAAAAATGAAAGAAATTCTCAGAAGGACCATTCAAAATTAGAGTATCTTATATTCAGTTAGTTAAATGCAGGTAAACACTGGATGAAGTCCATTGACCGAGGACGGTTGGACGGAAAGCTACCTTGTGCGGCTGCAGCAGCATTGGCCATCATTTCCGCAATTTCTCCTATCATACTTGCACTTCTATCAGGGGCTGTCTGCTGCTCTGCACTCTCCTTCCTCGGGTTGCTGCTTGCAGCAGAGCCTTGCAACTCGTATTCCCGAGGTGGAGGAGGGATGGAGCCCAAGTCCACTGGCTGACCCGCAGCCGCAGCAGCTATCACAGGCTCAAACTGCTTCACCACTCGCACATACTGAAGCGCTTTACTCGAGTCTCCGTTTCTCTTTGCTTCGAGGGCAGCCTCTTTAAACTCATTGCGCCTCGCAAGCAACACTTGCAGAGCAGATGAGTCAGAGGAGCTGTCATGAGTTTGTTCACTGCTGGGAGCACCACCACTTGAGACAGCGTCAGCACCATCATTAAGGGATTCGACAGGACCACCTCCAGGTGCAGGTGCAGGTGCAGCAGGCAAAGGCGACGGCTGCACTCTTCCAGGGACAGGAGGAGGGGGGGCAGGCCGGCTGGGTACTGCAGGAGAAGGGGCACCTGTGGCAAAAGAAGCCAGCATACACTCACGTGAAGCTCTGACAAGGCTCCGCTGGCCCCTACCAAAGCATGTACATGACAACTCAGCCCAAATTCACAAATGACAACCATACTGAAAATGTGTCTTTTCTCTCATGTTAGAAATCTATAGATTGGAAAATGTTTAAAAGTCAACCTCTCACATCACAGATGAGGATGAAAATCAAACCCCCAAACACTACTTGCCTTCTGTTACAACAAATTTCGTAAGTAATTTATTTTGCAGTACTTATCGTCAGTTTGTTTAACACAAATCTGCTCTCAAAAAAACCCTTTCTTACTCAACCATCAAAGACCTTTAGAATTTATTAATTTTTAATGTTCGAGTCCTAAAAGTGAGACAAAGCTCATTGAGACTGAATATTGTCCTTGTAATTGTAATTCACACACCTGACTCGGAAACTTTTAATTTTCTTTATTACAAACACAACTGTATTTACTGTAGATAATGAAAATACAGCATAGGTAAATTCCTTTTCAAAAGAGAAGAAAGCTGATACATAAACTGCCTCCCCAAACAACTTATGCATAAAGACTGTGTTATGGTCAGAATGCTTTCATCACTCTTTCACATGATGAAAATCCCAAATTTTTGATATCTTATAATTGTAAAAATACTAACTTGGCTCATCTACAGAGGACTTTCTTTTTATAGAGATAACCACAGGCGGTGGAATTTCCTCTTCGTTGATAACACGACCTGCAGATGCTTGCTTTATCATATCATTCAAAGTTTTGATGCCTCGAGCAAATCTGAAAAGCAGACCAAAATGTAATTTAGAGTATAAACATTTCTAATGTTCCTAAAATAAACATAATGTAGGAGAGCAAGATAAATATTGATGCACCAGACAAATTACTTGTCAGCAGAAAATATTGAACAATACAAAATATTTAAATTACAAATTAAATTTTACAATTATATTTATCACAAAAAGAAATACATTTATAAACGATGTTGCACTGGACTGATTTTTACGCCAACACACAATTTGAAATATTTATTTATCTATTTTGAATTCACGGCTAGTTGTCCCATGTAAGTACAACATACAAACAATTTATACTTGGTTTAAAATATAAAATGATATATATTTATTAATTAGAAACAAGTGGAACAAATGTCGATCTGGATGGCCGAGGTGGTTAGAGCACCTCAGTCGGAAGGGTTGCAAGTTTGAGTCTCGCTGTGGGCATGGTTGTTTGTCCCTTGTCTTTCATAAATGTGTGGTTGCAGAAGCCCATGTCAGACTGTTGACCACAAACCGAGGAGCCTATATGTGTGTTTACAGAAAAAGGTTAACATGTGTCCCCATGAGGGACATAGTGGGTACCGGGCACTGAGAGCCGAAATTGGCAACTCCAGGAAGCTGGAAAAAGATCCCAGAAGAAAGAAAGAAAACTAGGGGTACTGCCAAAGCACATACTTTCTCGCAATGTATCTAAAGGTTTCACAATATTACACTGATTTGTTCATTGTATTGAACAATTGATTTGATGTGACATACATTTTAGAAATAGAACAAGAGTTGTACACTTGTTTAAAATTTCCAAAAACGAAAATGACATACTACAGACACTTCCACTTTATTTAGAACCTTAACAGATTGTATATGTGAGTAGAATTGCTTCAAATGATTTTCAATAAAGTTTCTGAAATTCACAATAGTTTTCTGCACCAACAGAGTGTTGTGACAATCAATTATCCCTGGGACTGGCTCAAACCAGCGATACTTCCCTCTGAAATGCGGAGTCCAAACCTTACACTTAACCACTTCAGCCAACTGGGTTATACAGAAAATTGGCAATAGTCATATATGTCGAAATACAACAACTGATTTATTGAGATATTTTACAAATCTAATAAGAGATGTGCAAAAAATATCTTCAATTTTGTAGTTTTGAATTGTTTTTGCAATTTTTGAAAAAAATTAGCAATATCCAAAATACCCGGCCAAGCATATTTTTTACCGTTCTTTATAACGTATGTGAAGACAAATATTTTAAACAAAGGAGAGCAGTTTCTAAGAAAACATGTTTTCATAAATTTTAAGTGCATGTTAAGCAAAAACCACTCGTTTTTTCAAAAAACTGAACTTGACAATTTTTTAAAAGGTAATGTTGTACAAGAGGCCAAAACCTCAATCTTCAATTTAGTACTTTTAAAATTGTTTTTGTAATTTTCGAAGAAAAAAAACGAACAAAACCCGAAAATGGCACCAGCACATTTCTTGCCGTCCCTTATTACATGTATGGAGAAAATTTAAAGAAATAATTTGGAGCGGTTTTTGATAAGAAAAAAAAATCAAAAATTTCAAGCGCAAATTGTGCAAAACCCAGTAACCTTTACAAAAAACATGTACATGAACATCTCTAAGGACCTAATTTTGTCTGAATCAAAAACCTCTATCATCAATTTTGGGTTGGAACCCCACAGAACCCCATAGATCTAATAGTGCCAAACCTCTGGCCAAAGGGCTAAATTTTACAATATAATTTTTGTCTTTATTTTGAGGATTACCATCTTTCACATGTCTTCTTCGTTTTTAGATATTTTGTGTAGTACATGCATTTTAAATAATCTATAAAACTTCCATTTATTGTTGAACACTTTACCTACTTTATCTGTTGGTGCATTCCAACCCCAACAAGACAGTTCAACTCGGAGCTGTACCAAACATGTTACATGTTCTACCAATCACCTTTGCCTGTTATTGAAAGATTTCCTGTAAGCTTCTTATTGTTTCATTTAACATCATCCTCAGATTTCCAATTTCAAGAAAAGTGCAACACATTGCTAACCATGCAATTAATTCTAAGTTTTCTTAGTTGTGTCTCTCCTTTCAAGGGTTCATCCAAGCTGTAATAAATTTATTTCATAGACCAATTTCTAAAATGTGTAACACAGAAGTTTAGTTTTGCTCAGATTTTTTGTTTAGTTTGTTGACTTTTTTGGCTTTTGAAAGATAATGTAAGAAAGTGTTCTAGAGCAGCCATAGTGGCACAGGAATATGCAAAACCATGCTCCGGACATTGTCAAAATACACAATTTTGGAGCTTTTTGCAAAAATTTTCAACTTTTAACTTAATTTTTACTGTAATGGTTACACTAGAAAGTCAAAATTATAGTGCAAAAACAGTATTATGTTGAGACATCATGTGCTAAATTTCAATTTCTTTACTTGAGTAAGGAAACTACTATGTAATATTAAATTCATTTTTTCATCAACATTGTTGCAGCTTTTAAAATAATTTGGCTTCTCATGGATAATCATAATCTTTACTGCAAAATTCAAAACCACTTTCTATATTTAATTCAACATTAAGTTAGCTCAATTTCATTTCTTTAGCAATGAAAAAGAAAAAATGTATAGTACGGAGTTGCTCTACAGCTGTCGCCGTTTCTCCGCTCTCAATCTCCATGCCTCTCTATTGGGCCGTAGATCATCTGGCATTTCTCTTGCCGTCATAGCCTCTCGCACTCCCTGCTGCCAAGCAAGTATGGGACTTCCTCTCTTCTGTCTTTCTGTCGGCACCTGTACTTCATGTCACGTTTCTCCCCAAGTTTATTCGTCTCTCAATTTCTTCTTGGCTATTTCCCTTATTGTTAAAAAATACACCCAAATATTTATATTTGTTTACCCCTTTCATTTTTCCTCTATTTTCCAGAAGATCTATCTCATTGTCACCAACTGCCAGGTATTCAGATTGGTCCATGTTAACATTAAGTCCTGCTTTTAAGAAGTGGTCATTGAGTTTATGGATCATGAAACTCAAATCGTCTGCATCTTCTGCAATTGCTACCTGGTCATCGGCAAAATATAACGTAAACAATTTATCCTCTCCGATCGTCATTCCCATTACTCTGCACTGTTTCTCCCACTGCTGTAAAATTTGATGCAGATATATTTTAAACAGTGTTGGGGAAAGACAGCAACCCTGATGAAGACCTTTACTGACTGGGAACGGATCCGAGAACCTGCTGTAAATCTTAATCTGAGAGGTGTTGTTCTTATATAGATAGAGTCTGTGTGACTCCAATTAAGTTTCACTGATTTAAGTCCATCCATTTCTTCCCATACTCTAGCAACCAATACGTTGTCATATGCCTTCTTCAATGAAACCCGGATGAACTTCCCTACCTCTCCTTGTTCTCTTTGCTCTAAGTTGTTTTAATGTAAATATATTGTCTATGACCGATCTACCGGCAGTAAAACCACATTGTTCCTGTTCTATTTTTCCTTTTATCTCTTCTATATCATTTTGTATTATTTTGCTATATATACCTATAGATCCAATAACTGCTATTCCTCTGTAGTTTGTTTCGTTGTCTCTAGATCCTTTCTCATGGATCGGTGTTAGGTAACACGTTCGCCACTCCTGAGAAGGATCCTCTCCATTCATGCACCTCGAAAACATGTGTTTGAGCATTTGGTGCAGTTTATAGGGACTATATTTCAGTAATTCTTCTGATATATCTCCCGGACCAGGTGACTTATTAGATTTCATAGCCATAAGTCCTTTTTCTAAATCTTTAATTGTCAGATCTACTCTTGGCTCAAATTTCATTTCCTAGTTTGACTGACAGTTTCTGTTTTCTAGCAGCAGTCTTCCATTTATTGACTCTAATGTTTGATAGTGCGATATTGTTTTTTTCATTCAATTTAATAGATTAAATTACTTTCCAGGTTTCTGAGCTCCATGTTCTATTGTTCAGTTGTTCTATATAATTACATTTATCCAACCACAATTTATTCTTCCTTGATAACACTTCTTGTTTTACTTCTCTACTTATTGCTATGTTGTAAATTAGTTTGAGTTTTCATGTCACTAAGCCATTTTAAATACAGCTCTCTTTTCCTCTTAATCTTTTCTTCTAGACTTGTGTCCTACCAATACTGTTTCGGTTTTAATTTACAAGTAATTAAAGCCTCCTCTGCGGCTTGGTGAATACATTCTTTAATGTGTTCGTATTCTTTTTCTATTGACCTGTGTTTAACTGATAGTTTAGTTTCAAGTCTCTTTCTGTAAAGACATGCTGTACTTGTATTTGGTAGGTTTCATGACTAATCCTTCTTTATTTACTTTATCCATGCTATTCGATGTAAATTGTATGAATATTTTAGCAATTACCAAACAATAATTGCTACATTGAGCTCCCTGTTTCACTCTAACATCTTGTATTTTGAGTGAAGTTTTTTGCTTGGTTACACAGAGGTATTTTATAGATTTGAGTGTTTCTTTTTATGTTGGTACCAGGTATATTTATGAATATCCTTATGTTGGAAGAAAGTGTTATAAATTTTCATTTCATACTCTCCACAAATATTAATAAGTCTTTTTCCATTGTCATTGCGAGTTTCCTCACCATATTGACCTACAATATTGATGCTCTTGTCTCTTCCAACTCTGCCATTAAAATCTCCTGCAAATATTATTTCATGGGACTTTGGAATACCGTCAAGGCTTTCTTTGGCTGACATTTCAAAATCATCTATCTTAGCCATTAGGAAATCATCATTCAATTTATATATTTCTATGGCACTTTCTTTTTTCCTCTGATTTTTAACACTACTTTAATAAGACATTCGTTTATATACTCCCAACTTTTTATACATTTACCGAGTCTTTCACCAATAACAATAGTAATTCCGGCTTTGGCATTTTCATGTTTGTTTACTTCACTGCAAAAGTGCACAAAGTTGCTCAGTATTTCGCTTCCCTTGCCTTTCTTTTTTGTTTCAGGCCAGACGGCTATGTCTACGTTTCTACACATCATTTCTGGAATACTACTTCTTCGTTTGATATGCTTTGTACATTCCATATTCAATATTCAGAGTCCATTTTCTTTGCTAATGTAGTTTCCCTTTTGAAATATTTGAGGCATTCATATGACTGAGATTTTTAGCGGTGTAATGTTTTGCGTGTGCAGGGTGCTGGCCTAAACACAACGCCCCAAACCTGGAGGAGCGGATCCTTTATTTCAGGGGTTTCCATCCCTTAGGCTGATTGCTTCCACCATAGTTTAAGGAGTCCAGACTACCCCTGATCCACTCTTTAGGGATGATTCAATCCCCTGTTGGATCATGCACCATTCATAATTGGATTCTTCCGGGGTGCTTCCCGCGTAAGGCCTGTCTACTACACTCTAAAGAAATAAGGAAGGAAGATGAGGAAAGACTCCCTAGCCCTTGAAACCTAATAGCGTCGGGGTCAGAAAAAGCAAGAGTTGACCGAGGGAGGCCAATAGAATAGATGGAAGCATTGTGGCATAAGAAAGTAAAAGATGTCACAATAGTAGATGAAGGAATCATAACAATATGAACATATCATTATGGGGAAAGAACAGAAAGGTAGGAAAGAATGCACAGTTAAGATTGGGATGCATATGACTTGGTAGGATATGATTTAGTCTGGCCCCTCAGTTTTGGCTTATCCAGCATGGGTGACCCTACCAGTAGTCATGCATGGAAAAAAGTCATATTACTGCTGGCTTAGCCCTCCACCTCACAGAAGCACACAAGTCTCCCTGCCTGCAGGGACAATGCTCCTTCAAGGCAGTGTCCCCGGGGGAGGAGAAAGAAAATACTGTTTTTCAAATTTTACAACAACGCTGCACAGGGTCAAACAAATCGCTATTTCTTGAAAACTATTTTACGTATAAAATTGCAACTTCACAAAAGCTTCTTTGAGGAACTTGGCATATAAAATTTTATCAAACCAACAATAGTCGCTTTGAACGCTTTTCTAAAATCGGTTAGGAATAACCTTTATATCTCCAAAACTTTTCAGTATAACTAAGAAACAACATGAGATATAAACTAGTGGTGCTACAGACTTTCAATAGTAACAAACAGACTGCGATAAGACTTTCACATGGCACAGACTTTCTCATAGTAAGCTATTAGAGTAGTGCTTAGTAGTATCCTTAGTATTACATATTAGCCCTTAATATAGTTTTTAGAATTTTTCTCATTTTCTCGTTTCCTAATGATACATTCAAAATATTATTTTTGGAATAGTAAAGAAGAGTAAAACCTCATCCTACATGGCAATATTATATATTGATAAATTTGAAGCTGTTTTTAAGAAAATGGTGTTTAAACATAACTGTAAAATAAAATTTGAAGCTCTTTCGCACAGGAATCTTTCAAGTTCTAGATAAACTTCATTTGATGTCATTTGGAGTACTTCCATCACTCACATATGTAATAATGTATTCAAATCGCTGGAAATGTGTATATTAATGGTATGAAAGATATTTCAAAAACAATTTATATGTATAATTTATGAAAAAACAAAAGAATAAGCAAAATGAACTGTATGGCAGATTTAACAGAGCAATTAGCATTACCGTTTGGAAAAGTTTGAAAAAAAAATTGTTGAGCCCTTTTTGAAAAGATGGCTAATTTCTGAAAATGCTGAATCTTGAGCTTGTTTTCATAGAAAACTGTTGAGTTTTCAAGCAACCTCATATGACAATATTTAAAGCACATGTACTCCTAAATACAATAATGTGAAATCCTATGTGGTTTAGGCGCTAGTGGTGTTCACAGAGGGACAAACAAATTGACGTTGTGAGGAAAAAAAACACTTTCCTGGTATCAGGGGACATCAAAATGTGTCTGTTGAAATCTCAAAATCTATTTTCTGCAGCATTACATAACTTTTTCTGTGCTATGTATATTACTATGTATATGAGAAAGTAAAAATGTAAAAGGACATTTTTAACAAATCAACATTTTTAAACATCCCTTTTTTATTAAAAGGAGAATCACAAAGATCAGATCAGAGGTTACAGAGTTAAGGGTTTCAATATTATGTTACCCACCATGTTAAATGATGTCTGAAGATTAGCCCAAGCTCATTTGGAGGCATCCTGCACATATACCAAGGTGTCATATGTATCATAATTAATAATCAAAATACAACTACATACAAAAACTTTTACACATTTAAATGCCAATTCAATCTGCTCTAGAACATCTTTTTACATTAACTCACAAAATCCAAAGAATCTCATAGAAGAGTGAAAGAAAAGATAAATGAGCAGCATGAATGCTCATGGTATAGAGGGAAGTGGTAGGCTCCATATCTAGAGAGAAAATCATTCAAGTGGGCCAGAAACTGGTGCAATTGACGATTAGTGTTCTGGCTGATAAATTTGTTCATGTTCAACATGTCAGTATTTACATATTTTTACAGATAACCTCAAATATTACAAATTCTGGGTGCAGCAATTACTGAAAACTTACGCTTACCGATTAATACAAAGATCAAAGAAAATCAACTGGATGAGCATTTTTGGCCTGCTATCAATATGATGGATTACACGTTGGTTGAGAATTTTCAGATCACCCACCCTATGGTCTCCACCTTACCTCCACTAGTTACTCTTCCTACTTACAAAACAACTTGGTGGACAACAGTTTGAAAATGACAACTCATGACAGACATTATTGACTGTTTCAATTGTCAAAGGCAAACTTGGCAAATTTGTATCAAGAGATTAAAGAAGTTGGTGTAGTGTCCCAAATCGTGATTAGAAGTGAATGGCAATTATGAAGAGAAGAAAGTTTATGGCCAACTAAAGAAGTCAATAAAAACTTTCTGAAAAACAGCCCTTACTTTTCAAATAAGCCTCATAATTAAAATATTTTCACGAGTACAATACATTTGTAAGAAGCCTCACAATTAAAATGAGTTTGAAAATATTACAAATTATGAAAAAGATTAAGAAAGTTACAGAATAAACTAAACCAACAAAACCACATGTTATCAATGAAGCAACCAGGTGAAAATGCAGACAAGCCATATCAAAGAAATAACCCATGGGCAGAGTAGATAGAGTTAGGTACAGAATCCCATGCAATATTGCGTTAAATCTGCCAGATTATAAAATGAATCTCTGTATCATAAATGCTCAAAAAAATTAGCTTGAACACATCTTAACAAATAATCAGATGTTCATAAATTCCTTTTCTTTTTTTTCACAATTAGGACTTCCACAAGTATACATTTGCAAATTACACACTACCCACTTATAATTACTTCCATACCTTCTAGCACGAGCAGTTTCTCCACTGCTTTTTGCATTTCTTTCAGCTTCCTCATACATTTTCTGCCTACTTTGTAATAGTGAAATTATATCTTCTTTGGGTGCTACATTCTGAGGATGACTCTGATTTGAAGATTGAGCTTCTTCCGTAACATCGTCATCCACCAGATCATTCAGTTCATTCTGTCACACAAACAAATTTAATTAGCAAGAAATGTTAAAGTACTTTATAGAAAATTTCATTAAGAATGTTTTTAAAATTAAATAACTTGTTTATGCTTCAAATATAAATCAATTTTTTTTATCATTACCAGCAAGGCAGGATCGTTTTCATCTACAGACACATCATCATCTGAAGGAATGTCTCGTAAACTTTCCGCTACCATAGAGTCTAGATTGACACTAGGACTGGGAAGAACTGTCTCTGGAATAATATTGAAAAATATATTGAAAGATTAAAAAGAGAACCCAAGAGAATGTCACTACTGTCTCTTAAAAAAATATACAAAAGTTACTTTTTTTTGGTCGAGAGGCAGTTGATCCTGAAGTCAAGGCCAGTAACTCAGCTTCAAGAGCATCGTCATCATCATCATCCCCATCCTCATTCACATCAAAACCAGAGTTATCAATGCCAGGAATATCTAACAATCCATACTGAAAAAGGAATTTGATACATTTTGAAATTTGCTCAGAACACATAACCTCTACGAAGTCAAAAATTCTGAAATGACAGCCGAAGCTAAGTGTACATAAAAATATTAAAATGGAGTTTTATTACATTTACGGTTAAATACCAACAATCTCAATCACAAAATCAAACCTTTGACAAGTTCTGTCGCCGACCTTCTCTGACTTCTTTCTTGCGGCCGAACATTTTTCTTTGTCTTAGACCAGAATTTTTCTGTACTGGTGCAGCAAGAACTTATCGTTTAAACACTCAGACAACTGCAACAGATATAGTCAATACTCTATGAAAATAAATCTAAATCAATATTGGAAACAAGCATTAACAATTCCACTTTCAAATCATTCACTAATCCAGGATTCCAACACTGTTCACGATCACATCAGTAGTAGTGGTACTGATGCACCAATGCACCAATGCACCAGCAATGCACTGACTCAGCGTAGGTGGATGAGTCGTTCACTGGTTCACTCTCAGGAGTCTTTCGCGGATGTCATAATGACGGCACAACGTATTTGGTTTGATGTATTTAGTCAAAAAATATCAAAACTGTATGCTGGCGCGGATCCAAAGAGAGGGAAAATCCCCCTTAATTTTATTCTGTAAATTTTAATTTTAACTTGTCACGATACTTTCAAGCAAAAATATTTTCAGATAATCATAAAAACTAATAAACTCGTATGAGTGTAGCCAGAAGCATGAGCTGTGTGTGGTCCTGTGTGTAATTACTCTCTGGTGTAGTCTGCGAGATTTTACAAAATCTATAATGACGACTTTCGACCAAAACATTTTTAATTTCCCCTCCCTATATTTGTCTCTGGATCCGCCCCTGTTGTACGTGACGTATGGGGGAGATCATCTGCGCACGTTTTCTTGATTTCCAGAATCCCTTCCTAACATTCTAACTACAATTAGTTGAAAGATGAATAAAAGTTTAAAACTAATAAATAATAATAATAATAATAATAATAATAATAATAATAATAATAATAATAATAATAATAATAATAATAATAATAGAAAAAGCGCGAGATTAGCAACATTTACATTTACCTAAACTAGACAGTTTCGTTCCCGAGTTATAAAAAACTTATTTGCATCGGTAAACGAACTCCAGATTTGATTTGCTAAATGCATATTAAGTATTTTTTCTAAATTATCACAATACAAATGTAAACTAATGAATTATATATAAATGTTTTGTTGAAAAAAAATATTATTTTTCTTTATGATGATCAGCATAATCTATAATATTATAAAAAGAGTTATGCAGCAGAAAAGATATTACTTTTAACCTAAATTTGTGCACCGACTTTAATTGCTTAACGACATCTGACAATGCGTTGTAAAGTAACTTAATATATATATATATTATTATATATATATATATATATATATATATATATATATATTGTACGTGGATTTCTTGTAGTAATCCGTGATTACTGACACTTGATGAATGTGATGTCTACGACGTGTGTTGTAATTATAAGTATTAGTATTTCAGTTGTACATGAAAATATGTTCCACCCGTTAAGTAAGTCTGTTTTGACAAAAATTACAGATTCGAAAATAAATAGGCACCGCAATGGTAATTTTTCAAGCTAAATGAAAGGAGGCTTGCAGGAATCACGTTGTTGACGTGTTTTCATTGTTGAAATAATTTTCTTTTAGAGTTTAAAGGTCTGGGTACTACAGGATGAGATTCCCAGAATATTATGTCATATAGGGCTGATAGTATTTGGAAGAAATCTGAATGCGTAACATAACGAACTTAATTTAGCGTTTAACTCTGTTATATGTACATTTCATTTTAGGTTTGATTGAATGGAATTACTTTAACATCAGCTAATTGCATATTGTTCATTTTCAATGGAGCGTGCGATGGCCGATTTGAAGTGCAAAAATGCATTGAAACAGTTTTTCCTTCGTTAACCATTAATTTGTTATTACAAAACCAATTTGAAACTCCTGAAATCGTACAATTTATTGTTTCTTTTTCGAAAATAACATTCGTGTCATCGGCAAATAGAACTGTAGTTTCATTTTTAAGAGACGCGGGCATATCGTTTACATAGTATAACCGCAAGAGGATAGGACCTGAGATCGAACCTTGGGAAACACCATGCTCAATTGGAAGAGAATTGGAAATATAAGTAAATAATGTTCTTTCGAACCAGAACGTACACATTTCTTCTTTTTGAGATCTATCCTTAACGTACGAGTTTATCCTGTCTAGGGCAATACAATGAATTCCATATAGAGTTAATTTTAAGTAAAAGCTTTCGAAATATCTAAAAATATTCAAATGGGTGCTTCATTGTGGTCTATTGATGAAACAACGTCTTAAAGAAAAAAATGACAGTTTTCGTAGATTTTGATTTCCTGAACCTGTGTTTTGAGTCCGAAAACGCTTCGTTTCTCCTGAGAAACGTTTCCATTCACGAATAGAACAGCCTCTCTGATATTTTTGAGAAAACTGACAAAAGAAAACTTGGCTGGTAATTTTTAATTTCGTTTGTGTTCCCTTTTTTACTTTGCCATATACGTACGTATATACGGAGTGCTATACGTAGTATAGGTAAAGTTATGAAATGCTGCGGAAAAACGATTTCGTGATTTCAACAGATGTACACGTTTTGGGGTCCCCAGATACCAAAGCGGTTTTTTTTTGGTTTGTTTTTTGTTTTTTTACAATACGTCCGCCCGTCTATGAACATTACTTGCGCCTAAACCATGCGTAGGATTCTTTCCAAATTGAAGACACCTAGTCCATCTGGCTCGAGGCGAAGCTTTGAGATTTTGAAAAAATCTATAAAAATTACGGGGAACTTTACATGAAGCCCCCGCATATTTTCAAAATTTTCTTAAAAACGGCTTCAATTTTTTTCTTTAGATTTCTGGAGTAACATACTCTTTTAAAAGTGGCATAAGTCCGATTTTCACTGTTAACACGAAATTTTCGAAAATTTTAAAAGTATGAATTCTTTCAGCGACTTCCTAAAAAACAAAATTGAAGATATAGATTTTTCTTCAAATAAAATTTGTTCTCTATAGCGAGTTCTTTCAATAAGGTCTGGCAATTTTTTTGAAATTTTCAATAATATTACGTGCAAAATGTGCAATAAAAATACATAAACAAGATTTTCTCACAAATGACTCCAAATTTTGGCTTTAAACATTTTATAGGGATAGAACTAAATATACTCTATAAGATGTCATTAACGACATATGGATATATTCTTTTGTTTTTCAAAAAATACACAAATGTGATTTTTTACTTGCCTCTCATATCGTTAACATTTATATTAGCGTCAATTTGTTCACATTATTGTATTTATCAGTACATGTACTTTAAATAATGTCAGGTAAAGCTTCGCGAAAACTCAACCGTTACGATTAGGAAACCGAAAAATTAAGAAAATTTCAAAAATGTACTTTGAGCGGCGATATATGGCAGCTAGCAAGAATATGTGGCCAATTCATATAGCTATAAGAGACCAAAGGAAATACAAAACTAATACGGGAAAGTCTGTGCCATTATGTAGCAACACTAGTCTTTGTTTTTACACTGTTTTTACACACACCTAAACAACAAACCCGGGGATAGTATATAGTGGTGCACTTTAAAATTAATATTTCTTCCTCATTTCTTACGACATTTCAAAGCACAAAGGGCGTGAAAAGCTAAACAGAAACGTTGTGCATTGGAGTCTCTTAGGTATAGCTTTAGATTAGGTATAGCCTTAGGTATAGCTGCTGTGACGTAGTGAAATAAGAAATAAATTTCAATAACAAAAGAAAAATAATATATTAAAGATTATGTACAAGTTAGCAATGCATTGCTAATATTAAAACCTCCGGCAACTTTTCTTTCAATAGCCGCTGCTTTACCGCAGAAAATACAAGCACGCGTGATGCGAGCTGTTGACCTCCGTCGGGTGTCAATTACCGTCACATGGCAGAACGCAAAATTTAACCGGTGTGGCGACAGTGGTGGCCTACAGCAGCGAGATGCGTCTGGCTTATCTCCGGAATCTCGCCCACACTCTTACACCCTTGTACATACACGTACAAGCTCGCGGATGGCAAATGGGAATGAGAGCGCGGGGGACGCAGATAGGCGCCGCGTTAAATAGTTGAGCTGAAACCCACCACTGTTCATAGATAAGGCTCGCCGGCTGGCGCCGCGAGACTCGCTGGGCCAGCAGCTTTGGTTTAGCGCCCACCAGGATTCTCAGGTTGGATTCGCCTGCTTACCGTAAGCGAGGCTCGCTGGCTACGCATCCTCGGATTTAGAGCCTACGGTATTTTTGGCTCTGCGCTCTACCTGAGTCACCGCCAGAGGGCAACTCCCGAAGTTCAGGCTGCGACCCTTCCTCCCCCGCAGCGCACTTTCACCGACCTAACGGTTCTGGCCCTCGTGTTAACGACGCCACACTGCACTATCCAAGAAATCTGACAAACTATCACATGCGTGCGCAGTCGCAAGGCACCGGGCCCCGTCCAGATCGGTCCCCCAATCTTGAAAGAGGCGCTTCCGATCATCAGTTCTGAACTAACACGCCTTTACAATAGCTGCATCACAAGACGGTTTTTTCCGGAAAGCTGGAAACGCGAGGATTTCAATGCTCCCGAAACCTGGCAAACGCCTCACTCTCACGACGAGCCATAGGCCTATCAGCCTGCTCCCATCACGGGGAAAGTTTTCGAAAGCCTCCACTCGCGCGAATCCAACCAACTATCAACTCGCAAAACCTTATAGGAGATGAGCAATTTGCCTTCCGACCGCGACGTTCAGTCTCACTACAGGCACTACGTATGGCCCAGCAGAACTCCGCTGAACTCATACTCTTAGAGGATGTACCTGTCGTATACAAGCCTTCCACAAAGTGCCACACAAAACACTAATCTCCAAGCTAAGACGAAGCCTCCTAAAAAATGTAACGGACATTATTACATCTTTCCTCACAAAACGCACATTCGTGGTTAAAGTGGGAAAAGCAAGATCCTCAAAGCGCGGGATTTTCGACGGAGTCCTCCAAGGCTCCGTGCTCTCTCCGCTACTGTTCTCGCTATATGTCAATGACATACCACAGATACCACGGATTAGGCTATTCCTGTCTGCTGAAGACATAGCAGTCCTAGCAAGAGGAGTAAACCTAGATCATAAAGTGAAAACACTACAAAAACAGATGAACCTGTCTCTGAAGTGGGCAGAAGAAAACTCTTGACTTTTTCAGCGGAAAAGTTTCAGGCAATTTTCTTCTCTCGCCGCAAACACAAACACACAAAACAGTTCACGCCGCCCAAACAAAGCAAAATCGGAATCCAAAAACTCAAATGGACGCCTAAGGCAATCTACCTGGGTATCACTTTCGACCGGAGCATGCGCTGGCCCTTATGTGTCAGGGGAATCCGATCGAAACTTCATCTAGGGGTCCGTCTCTTAAAACCTCTCTTAAAGGAACCTTCCTTTCCCTTGTGTTTTCGCCTGGCACCCTACAAAACGAGCTGCCGGCCTGTGGCCACCTACGCTGCGGCGACGTGGTGGTTGACAGCACAGAAGTACAAGGATACACTTGAGTTAATTCAGAATAGAGTTCTGAAACTCACAGCTCGCCCTGTTTCGGAAACGACTGAAAGTACTGATATCGAGTCATTCACTCAATGCTTGAGACGACTATCATGACGACATGTCCTTACTATTGGACATAGATGATAAGCTCTCCCTTCAGACATACTAAAGGCATAGAGCGAAACATACTAAAATGACATAGTCACAAATGTGACTAAACAAATCGCCAAACTGGCAAACGACTAAGGTTTGTCGCGAACCTTCACAAACTACTTACACCTAGCAGTAAAACGCAAAAGGCTTGTGCACTGCAAATACGATCAAGTATTCTTTGATCAATACGATCAAACACCACATTGACCTTCGGCTACGCCGAAAAAAAACACCCCCTCTTTAATGTTTTACCACCCGTGATGCTGGAGGCACTCGTCGCACCGCCACTTCCTCCCGGGACGAAGGATTCACAACCCAGGTAAGTACAATAAACTATATTAACGATACTCTTGTTTCATTTACCTGCAAGAGTTGCTGGAGTCCTTCCTCTCCCCGACAAGTCGCGCAGTTTTAATAACGACCGCGGATGGTTCGAATTGCTTACGAGAATACTCTGTCCCTACGAGAGAACGTGAATCTCGAGATCGGCGGCTCTCGTTGCCTCCCCAAGGAAAAGATAATCTCAGTAACCAGTACACTCTCTCGGCCTTGGCTCCTCGACCCTTCTCCTTTCTTCGACCAGCGAGAAGTACTCACAGCTCCGGCGAGATACGAGAGAGACAATGCAGGTTGGACCGTCGCTTGTGTACAAGATGCAATATTTAGAAGAAATGTTTCATATATCTGTTTCAATGAATTGTAACCACGTGATAATTCTAATATCTGGCTGCATTTAAAATTCCCGCTAATATTGTGACGCAATCTGGTACCTGAAGCTCATTGGCTGAAATCGGATAAGATGCGCTATTGCTCACCCATCTCTTTCTATCATGCGCTCGCTCTGGCTCACTGGGCTCACTGGATCGTGCGCCGAATCAGCTGTTATATGATTAATCAGATTAAGATTAGTCAATGCAATAGCTGAAATTAATCGTATATGGCAGGAGCAACCAACAGAAGAATTTTTGTGTGTTTTTCTTTGTCGTGCCGATATAATTTACGTACTGCTTTCAAAGCGAGGTACTAAACCGTGATTTATAGCTTGTACGGGCAGACTTTTATGGTTGAAAAGAATTTCAATTAATTTTTTTAACTTGATTTGTCTTATGAGATTTTTTTAAATTTTGTAGGACACACTCGTTTTATCCCGATTATGTGTGTTATCAATGGGGAAACGTGTTGGCTGTGCAATGCCGTACCTTCATGCGTTTACCAGGTGCTGAGAATACAAAAAAGTATTCTGGAAGAAAGTTAGTAGGGTATGTATTGTGCAACCCGCATACCTGGCCAATTATATCATTTATGGCTGATAGATTGCTTTTCTACAGGTATTCAATGCAGCAGATGTATTCAGTGGTATCTGATGTTGAAAACTACAAGAACTTTGTTCCCTTTTGCAAAAAGTCATATGTATTTCATAGAAAACCTGGACATCTGAAAGCAGATTTAGTAATTGGATTTCCACCCATAGTGGAAAGTTATACTTCGAGTGTCACAATGGTGAAGCCTCACCTTGTAAAAGCTGATTGTACCGATGGTAAATTATTTAATCACTTGACTACAACATGGAAATTTAGTCCTGGCTTATCAACAAATCCCCAATCATGTGTAATAGATTTTTTTGTCTCATTTGAATTTCGATCTGTCCTACACTCTCAGCTGGCACACATATTTTTTAACGAAGTTGTACGACAAATGGAAAATGCTTTCCTAGAAGAAGCAACAAATCGGTATGGTAAAGCATCTGTGAAAACTAGACAACTGGGAACCTTGCCTGCAAGTTGATCATGACAATTAATAGTGTTAAATTGTAAATATTTTTGTTTTTAATAAAAAAATACTAATCTTAATTCTGAAATTGTAATCTTTACAGAAACCTGAGAATAGTCATTGCAAACACCTCTACTTTTTCTAAAAACTCATTGGCTTATGTGGATAAAGTGAGCAACACTTTTGAGTGTAAAAATTTTTCACTGAGAAAGACCAGAATTTTCCATATAAATGTAAGGTAGTTTGTCCTTGGCCTTTATGTTCTCAAAGAAAATTATCATTTTTATGACATCAGTGTGTGTTGGATGGCACATAATGAAACTCTGATTTCAAGCTGTTAAAAGGAATTAAGGCCTGTTCGTGAAGTTTCATTATCAGGTTACAATTTTTAAATGCATTGAGGTCTTAAACAAAATGCAATATATCCAAGAAAACATTTCTTTGAATCAATGTGAAAAAGTATTGTCTTTTAGATTTTCTTTTTTTTTTTGTAAATTTGTCCGTGATAGAGAGTTTAGTATTCAATTCATATGGAAATCATTAATAAATCCAATAATTTGGCAATCGGACTAAAGTTTTATCATAAAAATGAAGTTTTGACCCCACACACAGCATTTGGATTCAAACACACTAGAAATTTTGTTATTGTTTTAGTTTTTGATTTGCACAACTGCAATTCTATAGCACTCTTTTAATCCTTTCTTAGAGATTTCGAAGAATTTTCTTTTTTGGGGGGGGACTATCTTCTATATTTTGTATTTTGTGTACAGAGTGGTTTGGGAATGTCAATGTTGTGGTTTGGGATTTTTTTAAATCAAAACATCCATCTGTCTGAGAACAACACTAGTATCTACACTATTCATTTCAAAAATTGATATTTTCCAAAATTAATATTCCTCAGTCAATCTGCCTCAGGTTGAAGCTCTTTGAAAAACATTCTTTCATTTTGAGGGATACTTTATATGAAGTTCCTGGAAATATTCTCAAAATGGCTCCAAATCTTTTCCTTAATTTCTTGTAAGAGTGACATGCACTTATAAAGATGGCATGGGTCTGATTTTCACTCTTAACTCGAAATTTTTAATATTTATTTACTCACCACACTTATTTGCTCAAATGAAATTATATATTACACATAGTTGATGTACCTACAGAAGTTAACATAGTAAGAAGTATTGAAATTAATAACATTAATAAAAACAAAAGTGCAACTAATGAAGTTATAAATTAGTAACTTCAAATTATCTTCTCCCCATCGCATATCAGAGTTTTTAACGGTTTTTTTACATAAATAAATAAATAAAAATAAGTAATAAACAATTCTACTAGCTAAAATCCAATATTCTTTATTTCAAACATTTAACAAAACTTGCATCACTTATACCTTCCATCGCTCAAATGTTCATTGCAAAATCATGTTAAACGAGGTATTGATGAACAATAGTAATTTTGTGTTTTGCAAAACATTTCTATAAATAAAACATTCCTTCTTGTATTACATAGATTATTGTAATGAACAAATAAATTTCTTAATTCTGGGCAATCACTTTTAAGTATTTAAAAAATTGTACATAAATTTATCCTGCATTACATGTGAGGACTGCAAAGACTGTAATTTAGTTTTCTGGGAAATGTCTGAATAAACTTGGGAATAAATCGACATTAGATTTTTAATCTTGAATGGTGTATCTGAAAAAATCTGTGGAAACTTGAATGATGTATCTGAAAAAAAATGCACATTCTCTAAATCGTAATTGCAAAATTCACACTTGGAGACCATACTACTGAGCAAAACATCAATTTTGATTTCACTAATGCATTATACAAATTCACTATTGTATCAAGTTGTTTAGAGCATGATGTTTTTTTTTAATAATAATCTAATAGTTTTTAAAACCCGTTAACTATATAATGAACATGAAAATAAAATAGCATTTTGGCATCCATCACTACTCCTAAATCTTCAATTTCATTAATTTCTTCATTCATGACATCTCCAATCAAATAGAAATTTACATCTTTATTATTATCTTTAACACATCTTAATAATTTACATTTATTATAATTCAAATGGAGCTTATTTTCTATACACCATAAGTTACGTGTGTCAACGTCTTTCTGTAGAAGTTTAGAATCTTCTACCTCATTAATAATTTGCCAAAACTTACAATCATATGTATATAATATAAAAGAAGAGTTTAAAAAAGTTTTAATTTTTTTCAGTATCTTCCTACAATTACAAAATTGAAGGCTGAGATTTCTCCTTCATATGAAATTTTTTCTCCACGATTGATTCTTTCATTAAGGCTTTGTATATTTTTTTGAAAATTTTAGTAGTTTTCCTGCAATATTGAGTGAAATATGTGCAATATTAAAAAATATCCAAAAGAAAAGTTTCCAAAAACTGCTCCCAAATTTGTTCTTCAAACTTTTGATAGTAGTAGTGACAAATGTAAGATGGTTAGAGGTCTTTAAGGTCTATTGTTCTTTTCAAAAATTACACAATATTGTACATTTTTTGACATCTTTCTCTTGCATCGATAATATATACATTAATGACGATTTGTTTACATTATTGAATTTGGTAAAACTACTGCTTCAAATGATGTCTTATAAAGTTCCTCGAAAACTCAAAAGCTTCCTGTGAAAATGAGCACAAAACTTCTCATTTTCAGAAACGGTCAAGGCAATTTTCAAAAACAAAAAGAACATTGCAATTTGTTTATTCAAACTTTTTGTATGGATAGTGCTAAATGAAATAATTAAGATGATATAAGTAATTATGCTGTATTCTTTGTTGTTGATTTTTCAAAAATTATGCGAATGTAATTTTTTTTTTTTAATACTGCTTGTGCCATTAATTTGCAAATTTCCAGTGATTATTACATTTACAACTGGAAGTGCTTCAAATTACTGCCAATGAAATTTTTCTTAAACTCAAAGGTTATCTGTGAAAAAGAGCTTCAAATTTCTCATTTTTAGGCATGCTTTTTCTTAAATATGGCTGCAAATTTATCAAAGAAAATTTCAATATAGGATGAGGCGTTACTCTACTATAAAATTTTTAAGGTAATATTTCGGTTCTACCATTAGGTGTTTAACCAAATATTGAGAAAATTTCAAAACACTGTACTTTGGAAAAAAATTGCAGCTGGCAAGACTGAAAAGCTAGTTCAGATCAAAAGAATTAGAAACCTAACAAGTATGAGAAAGTCAGTGCCATTCTTTAACGCCACAAATTTATTATGAATTAGGTAATTTCAATCAAATAACTAAAACTAAGAACAGTGACTGTATGAGGTGTAGTTGTGAACTGTATTGTCAGTGGCAATGTAGGACTTGATTTCCGATGAGGCATTGATATTTATATATGGCATGGGTGCATAAGCCTATTCTGTTATGTGGTTGAATTAAATTTAATCAAAATGTGTGTAATTCAATTGCATCTAGATGTATTCAAGCAATTCAATCATTTTTCTCTCTCATCATCCATGTATATCACGTAATTGTCTAAGGTCATGATGATATTAAAGTTCAATAATGCTGTTTCTCTCATTTCTCTTTGATGGAATGCCTTTCTATTTGAGTTCAGGTGAGATTTTGCAAAGTTAAATGATTATTTCAAAGGTTATACAATATCGAAATTGTTGAAATTAAAGTTGAAAGAAAAGAGACTGCTAAACAGTTTTACTATGAAGTGCAAAGTTTAAAGCTAAATTTTTTGTTTTGGATTTTATACACCTCTTATTTTTGTATGTTTAAGAATTCATTTTAATTAAATTATCAAAAGTCAAATGGTACATTGTGTAATGCCCATAACTTCTCGGGATATGTCGGGCGCCAGGTTCAGTTCCTGTAACGATTGGATGGAA